CTCAAGTTCTGAAACATAAATGCTGGTAGGTAGAAAAAAATTTCAAAGTCCTTATCTATCGAATGCTTTGTTTTGTACAGTAACTGCTCTCTTCTGCTTAAATCGGTTCACTATAAAGACATCACAAATCTAAGCGTGATATTTTCTAACACTGCATTCCTACTGGGATAAGATTTTTCTATCAGGGAAGAGAAACTCAATGCTGTAGTCCTAGGGTTTCTTGGAGACACCACCGCACAGGAGGCAAAGCCGTCTGTGACACCCTCACCAACCCTTTCCGTACAGTCGTCCTCCTTTATGCCACATTTTCTGTGTTTTTCCATCTTCTGTCCAACCCTCTTGACTCAGGTAATCTTTCCCCTTTCAAAAATCATGTCAGTTCCTAGGAAAATGGCCCAAATTTATGCTGATCAGATGAGGGTGACCTCAGACAATGCGAATGAGCTATTTGGTATACTTGAATTTTAACCATAAGGACTTAAGTGCTTTGATTTATGCAAAATATATTTTAAACAATTCTTAAAAATTTATTTTTTTTAAATTGGTTCTAATTAGTTATGCATGGCAGTAGAATGCACAATGACACCTCTTACATAAATGGAATATAACTTCTCATTCTTCTTGTACATGATGTAGAGTCACACTGGTTGTGTAGTCATATATGTACATAGAGTAAGAGTATGTGATTCGTTCTATTGTCCTTCCTATCCCCATACCCTACTCTCTTCTCTCCCCTTTTCCTAATCCAAAGTGACCCTATTTTTCCCTAGCTCTCCACCTGCATAGCACCTGCATATCAGAGAAAACCTTCGACTTTTGTTTTTTTGGGGGGTGGGTGGGTGGGAGCAAAGGATTGGCTTATCTCACTTAGCATGCTATTCTCCAGCTCCATCCATTTACCAGAAATGCCATCATTTCATTCTTCTTTAGGCCTCAGTAATATTCCATGATGTATATGTACCGCATTTTCTTTATCCATTCATCCGTTGAAGTGTGTCTAGGTTGGTTCCATAGTTTAGCTATTGTCAATTGAGTTGCTATAAACATTGATGTGGTTGTATCACTGTAGAATGCTGATTTTTAAGTCCTTTGGGTATGAACCAACCAGTGGTATAGCTGGGTCAAATGGTGGTTCCATTCCAAGTTTTCTGAGGAATATCTATCCTGTTTCCATAATGGTCGCACCAATTTACAGTTCCACCAGCAATATACGAATGTACCTTTCCCCCGACACTCTTGCCAACATTTATTGTTGCTTGTATCCTTGATAATTGTAATTTTGACTGGAGTGAGATGGAATCTTACGAGTAGTTTTGATTTGCATTTCTCTAATTGCTGGAGATGTTGAACTTTTTTTTTCATATATTTCTTGATTGATTGTATTTCTTCTGCAGAGTGTTTCTTCAGTTCCTTAGTCCATTTATTGATTGGGTTTTTTTCTTTTCTTTTTTTTTTTGGTGTTAAGTTTTTTGCGTTCTTTATATATCCTGGAGATTAATGCTCTATCTGAGGTGCCAGTGATAAAGATTTTCTCCCATTCTGTATGCTCTCTTCACATTGTTGATTGTTTCATTTGCTGAGAAGATTTTTAGTTTGAATCCATCCCATTTATTGATTCTTGATCTTACTTCTTGTGCTTTAGGAGTCTTGTTAAGGAAGTCAGATTCTAAACCAACATGGTGAATATTTGGGCCTACTTTTTCTTTTGTTAGGGGCAGGGTCTCTTATTCTAGTGCCTAAGTCTTTGATTTACTTTGAATTAAATTTTGTGTAGGAAGAGAGGGGTTTAATTTCATTTTGTTCCATCTGGATTTTCAATTTTCCAGCACCATTTGTTGAATAGTCTATCTTTTCTCCAGTGAATGTTTTTGGTACCGTTGTCTAGTATGAGATAACTGTGTTTATGTGGGTTTGTCTCTATCTTCCATTCTGTACAATTGGTCTATGTGTCTGTTTTGGTGCTAATACCATGCTGTTTCTGTTACTATAGGTCTGTGGTATAGTTTAAGATTTGGTATTGTGATGTCTCCTGCTTCGCTATTTTTTGCTAAGGATTGCTTTTGTTATTCTGGGTTTTCTTATTTTTTCCAAACGAATTTCATGATTTTTTTTCTAGTTCTATGAAGAATGCCATTGGGATTTTGATAGGAACTGCATTAAATCTGTATAATGCTTTGAGTAATATGGCTGTTTTGACAACATTAATTCTGCTTATCCAGGAGCATGGGAGGTCTTTCCATCTTATAAGGTCTTCTTCAACTTCTTTCTTTATTGTTCTACAATTTTCATTGTAGAGATCTTTCATCTCTTTTGTTAGATTGATTCCCAAGTATTTTATTGTATTTTTTTTTGAGGTTATTGTGAATGGGGCAGCTTTCCTAATTTCTCTCTTAGTAGATTCATCACTGATGTATAGAAACATGTTTGATTTATGGATGTTGATTTTATATTCTGTTACTTTGCTGAATTCATTTATTATTCTAGAAGTTTTCTGGTGGAACTTTATAGATCTTCTAAATACGGAATCATGTCATCAGCAAATGGTGATAGTTTGAGTTCTTTTCCTATTTGTGTTCTTTAATTTCTTTTTCCTCTCTAATTGCTCTGGCTAGAGTTTTAAGGATGATGTTGAATAGAAGTAATAAAAGGGCATCCTTGTCTTGTTCAAGTTTTTTGGAGGGAATGCTTTTAATTTTTCTCCATTTAGGATTACATTGCCCTTGGGTTTAGCATTTGTAGCTTTTACAATGTTGAGGTATGTTCCCACTATCTCTATTTTTCTAGTGTTTTGAACATATAGGGGTGCTGTATTTTGTCAAGTGCTTTTTCTGCATCTATTGAAATGATCATCTGATTCTTATTTTTTTTTAATTGATTGTTCAAAACATTACATAGCTCTTGACATCTCATATTTCATACTTTAGATTCAAGTGGGTTATGAACTCCCATTTTTACCCCAAATACAGATTGCAGAATCACATCAGTTACACATCCACATTTTTACATAATGCGTATTAGTAACTGTTGTATTCTGCTAACTTTCCTATCCTCTACTATCCCCCTTCCCTTCCCCTCCCATCTTTTCTCTCTATCCCATCTGCTGTAATTTAATTCTCTCCCTTGTTTTTTTTCCTTTTCCCTCACAACCTCTTATATGAAATTTTGTATAACAATGAGGGTCTCCTTTCATTTCCATGCAATTTCCCTTTTCTCTCCTTTTCCCTCCCACCTCATGTCTCTGTTTAATGTTAATCTTTTCCTCTTGCTCTTCCTCCCTGCTCTGTTCTTAGTTGCTCTCATTATATCAAAGAAGACATTTGGCATTTGTTTTGTAGGGATTGGCTAGCTTCACTTAGCATAATCTGCTCTAATGCCATCCATTTCCCTGCATGATTTTGTCATATTGTGTATAAATGTCTTGATTTTTTTTTTATCCATTCATCTATTGAAGGGCATCTGGGTTGGTTCCACAGTCTAGCTATTGTGAATTGTGCTGCTATGAACATCGATGTGGCAGTATCCCTGTAGTACGCTCTTTTAAGGTCTTCAGGGAATAGTCCGAGAAGGGCAATAGCTGGGGCAAATGGTGGTTCCATTCCCAGCTTTCCTAGGAATCTCCATACTGCTTTCCAAATTGGCCGCACCAATTTTCAGTACCACCAGCAATGTACAAGAGTACCTCTTTCCCCACATCCTCACCAGCACTTGTTGTTTGACTTCATAATGGCTGCTAATCTTACTGGAGTGAGATGGTATCTTAGGGTGGTTTTGATTTGCATTTCTCTGACTGCTAGAGATGGTGAGCATTTTTTCATGTACTTGTTGATTGATTGTATGTCCTCTTCTGAGAAGTGTCTGTTCAGGTCCTTGGCCCATTTGTTGATTGGGTTATTTGTTATCTTATTGTTTAATTTTTTGAGTTCTTTGTATACTCTGGAAATTAGGGCTCTATCTGAAGTGTGAGGAGTAAAAATTTGTTCCCATGACGTAGGCTCCCTATTTACCTCTCTTATTGTTTCTCTTGCTGAGAAAAAACTTTTTAGTTTAAGTAAGTCCCATTTGTTGATTCTAGTTATTAACTCTTGTGCTATGGGTGTCCTATTAAGGAATTTGGAGCCCGACCCCGCAATATGTAGATCAGAGCCAACTTTTTCTTCTATCAGGTGCAGAGTCTCTGATTTGATATCAAGCTCTTTGATCCATTTTTTTAAGTCTACTGAAGTGATGTGTTACATTTATTGATTTCTGTATGTTGAACCAACCTTGCATCCCTGGGATGAACCCCACTTGATCATGGTGCACTGTCTTGTTAATATGTTTTTGTATGCAATATGCTAAAATTTTATTGAGAATTTTTGCATATATGTTCATCAGGGATATTGGTCTAAAGTTTTCTTTCCTTCATGTGTCTTTGCAAGGTTTTGGAATCAGGGTAATACTAGCCTCATAGAATGACTTTGGAAAGATCCTCTCCTTTTTTTCTTTTCATGGAATAATTTGAAGAGTATTGGTGTTGATTCTTCTTTGAAGGTCTTGTAGAACTCAGCTGAGAATCTGTCTGATCCTGGGCTTTTCTTGATTGGTAGGCTTTTGATGGCATCTTTAATTTCATTGCTTGAAATTGATCAAAGCTTTATTTTCTTGTACCTGAAACTTCACCCTAAGTCTATGAAACTTTTCTTCTTATACATAAACTTACCCTTGATTTTTTTTAGAGCCAAACTTATCTTTCTATACCAAAGATGTCTAAATAAAAAATGATAACAGTATAAGATAACTTATTTATCACTGAATATTGGTAACAGGATGCTTTATAATCATAAATTAGAGATGAGAGCATCCACATAGCAGTTAGCATAAAAAAAAACATGCATGAGAATGTTTTAGGAAAGGGATTTTTTGGAACACTCTCTTTTTGTTAACCATTCAACCTCTCATAGATAGTTAACTAAATTTTGTTCAAGAATGTCGTTTAGAGTGAAGACCCTGTGCAATCAATATGTAGTTTAGAGTGAAAACTCTGTGCAATCAATAGTTTTTATTGAGAATAGAAGTAAGTAACATCACCATCAAAAAAAATCTCCCCTCAGTATACAGGAACAGGGTTCAGACTCAGCTTCTTAATTCAAACAGCCAAAATAAATAGGAATAATATATCAAATTATGGGGTTTTTTTTGTACTGAAGATTGAAGCCAGGCCTGCTTTACCACTGAGCTACATCCCAGTCATTTTTGTTTTGAGAGAGGGTCTCACGAAGTCACTGACAGCCTTGCTAGGTTGCTGGGGCCGTCTTGACTTACATCGGTCTCAGCCTCCTGAGTCCCAGGGATTGTGTGTACCAAGGCACCTGGCCTCCAATAATGGGTTTTAAGACAGTAGACATGAAGTGACAAAGGACAAGTTTCCCTGAGAGGTGAGAAGCCAGGCGATGGCTGTGACTGCCTTTGTTTATTGCTTGTGGAGAGTTTCCAGGCCAGGGTGGAACAAGTGGAACCCAGACTGAGTTGGCGGCTTTCCTGAGTTGAGGAAATCCAAATCTGAGTTTGGAGAGGAGTGAAGGGTACAGAGAACCGTGGGTCCTTGTGGAGAATTCTGGTTGAGCGCTCAGAGGAGTACTCATCAGCCCACATGAGTGAAGAGACTATCTGGGACCAGGAGAAAATATTAAAAACTATTATGAGTAAGAAGTTTGTCATTCTCACAGGGCTGGGGATGTTGCTTGTTCTTACTAGTCATGCAAGAAAAACTCATAATTCATAGGGCATTGGATGGACCACTAAGGAAAGTCTTGTCTCAGAAGTAGGGAATCATTAACTCTAAGTAAGGGACGACTGTAGAGACACCTAACAAAATCAGAAAAGCAAGACTTGAATGGATCAAATTATTTCCAATTACTTAACTGTACCCAAAACAAAAGCATGTAAAATTTGTTCAAAGATTAGTAGACATATGCAAAGAAGTGGGAAATAATGAGAATTAGCTTTAATAATGAGAAAAACTAATAGTATAATTATCATTATATGAAATACAGGAATATTGGAACATAAACCAACGGTATCAAGTAAATATCTGTAAGTCCATATTATCTGATATATAAATGGAGATGTTACATTTTGGATGTGAGGTGTCCCTCCAAAGCTCACCTGTGAGATAATGCAAGAGGGCTCAGGTGAGAATTGATTGGGTTAAGACTGGAACAACCCCATCAGTGAATTAATCCCCTGATAGGTATTAACTGCATGGTAACTGAAGTGGTAAGGGTGTGGCTGGAGGAGGTGAGAATGAGGGCGTGGCTTTGGGGTATATATTTTGGTCTGGCCAGTGGAGTTCTCTGTCTCTGATTCCTGATCACTGTGATGTGAGCTACTTCCCTCTGCCACACTCTTCCTCCATGATGTTCAGCTTCACCTCAAGCCCTGGAGGAATGGACCTGGCCTTCTCTTGACTAAGACCTCTGAAACTGTGGGCCCTCAAAAAAGCTCTTCCTCCTCTATAATTGTGCTGTCCAGATCCTTCAGCAGCAGAAAAGCTGACTAAGACAGGAGGAGAATACACCCATCTGCCTTGCAGAAGTTCCCTATGATTTACATAGCTACATCCACTCTCAAAGAGGCAGAGGATAATTGCCCATTCTTTAATAGTGGGCTTTGCACAATGACTTCCTTTCAAAGGGGAGGTAAGAAAGGAAGAAGAAAAAAAAAAAGGTTAAACCTTACAATGGAAAAGCTGACGAACACTACTTCCATCCACCGATCCAGGTCAACATCATCCTTGATAAGTCATGTTATTCGTATGTACGTTTGATATGATGTGGTAGAAAGCCCCGTTCTCCTCCACAAAGCTCGAAATCTCCATCTAATCATAAGAAAAACCACAATTTCCATTAGAGAAATAGCTGACCAGTGTATCTTTCGGCTGTCAAAATAATAGAAAATAAAGAAGGTTGAGAAACTGTCACCGTGAAGGAAGTTCTAAGGAGATCTGAATGTAATGTGAATTCTTGAGTGGGATCCCAGAACAGACTACACTAGATTAAAGACGAAGGACATCTGAAGATGGTATTCACCTTAGTCAATAATCATATACCAATATTGGTTCATGAGTCGTAGAAAACATACCAAATTATTATAAAATACAAGAGAAACTGGGCGTGGGGGTGAAAATGAACTTTCTTGACTATCTTTGTAATTTTTCAGCAATTCTAAAACTTTAAAAATTAAGATTATGTAAAAGTAATAAATTTCAAATGTCATCGAAGACACATTCACTATCTAATATATAACATTTTAATCAGAATGATATCTAAACCTAAATACCCTACAATCTATTAAAACCTGAATATTTGAAATATTGTTGAATTTTGTAAATTATATAGGCACACAATATGTGCATATATATAATGTACATATTATATATATATAATTTCTCTAGATAGGCAGGAATTCCAAAATTCTTGTTTTATTATTGCAGTACAACATAGGGAACATGAATTTCTTTCATTATTATTTGTTTCTGAAGAAAGCATCCAATGTTGCCTGTAATTTTTATCTTAATTTGCCAATTAAGTGGAAATTATTATGGAAGGGTTGTGTCAGGTGAGATGTTAATAGGAAAAGTGTACTTCTAGAGCTTTGGGTATTTGTAAAGTTGTAAAGCTCAGTATATGTGTTATTATTAAGGTCATCATTTATACTCTTTAACATACTGATTAAAAGGGAGAAAAAACAGTACCACTTTGGGCAATAAAAAATTGACAATGAAACATGCATTTGTGTTATAGAACAAGCCCCTTAATTAAAAATGTGACATAAATATGATTAATAAAATATTAACCCTATAAAAGGTTAATTAAACCCTATAATGGCAATGACTACTGTTTTTATATATTTTCTGATTATAGCCTAGAAAATGTTGTTTATTTAGTATAAGTATATGAGGAGAGAGATCTTGGCAAAAATTTTGTTGCCTATACTATATTTTAGTTATTAAAAGCTATCAATATTGAAAAGTGACATCAGCAAGATGGCTGAATAGAAAGCCTCAGACCTTCCTGATCCCACAGAGATATTAACTTAACAACAGTACACGCCCAAGCACCTTGGTACAAACTCGGAAAACCAGGTAAGAAGTTCCTGCACCCCAGCCAACTGTGAAGTCAATTGAATGGAAAAGGCTGGTAGGAAAATCATGCTACTTATTCACCAGAGCCCTTCTCCAAGTACAGTACATTGTGATCAGGAGAAAAATCTCAACTTTCAACCTTTCCCTGGGGAGGAAAAAAAAAGATGAATTGTACGTTCACCATTCTGACTTTTCTTAGGACTTCCTGAGGGACTGGTTTCTGTCTTTCCTGATTTTAAGCACTGCCACTGAACTTAACCACTGCCAGGTTAGGGCTGAGGAGAACAAAAGTGAATCAGTTTACCAGAATGATAGTGTCTGTATTCTCCCTGCAGACACCAGGGGGAACTCTCAAGTAGGAACGGGCAAACTTCTTCAATGAGATGATAGATACAGGCCCAGAGAGGAGGCATTAACAGAAAAGGTTTAATAGGTCTTTAGAATATCTAGCCCAGCTGAAATGTTAAGGTTATCTTTGTATAGAATCAAATTTCCAAGACTGGGAGAGGTGGGTGATTTTCAAACCTTTAAGACTCAACAGAAGAGGACAGTGCATACAAAGAAACATGGAAACGTGGCCCAATTGAAGGAACATATTTAATCTCCAGAACCAACCCTAAACAAATGACAATATTTGAATTACCAGACAAATAATTCAAAACAACCCTCATAATATGCTCAATGGATTAAAACAGTACAGGCTACAAAATAAAAAGAGGAAATGAATGGATGGATTGATGAGAGTATCAACAGAGAGAAACTACAAAGAAACGGAAATTCTGAAGTTAAAAAATATGAAAACTGAATTAAAAAAATTCATGGGTTGGCAATATAGCTCAGTTGGTAGAGTGCTTGCCTTGCATGCACAAGGCCCTGGGTTCAATCCCCGGCACCACACACACAAACAAAAATCACTATAGAGAACATCAGACCTGACCAGGAAGAAGAAGGAATCAGTGAACTTGAAGATGGCATATTCAAAATCATCAGGTCAGAGGGCCAAAGAGAAAGAAAAAAGAGAATGAAGGAAAGACAGTTTGAGGAACATATGGGACATCATTAAGCAGAACAGCACACATATTGTTGGAGTTCCAGAAAGAAAAGGAAGAAAGGATTGAAAGTCTCTAAAAAAAAAAAGAATGGCCAAAAAAAAACTCCTCCAATCTGAGGTAAGAAATCGATACACAACTCCTCGGTTTATACCCAAAGGACTTAAAAGCAGTACACTACAGGGACGCAGCCACATCAATGTTTATAGCAGCATAATTCACAATAGATAAACTGGGAACCAACCTAGATGTCCTTCAGTAGATGAATGGATAAAGAAACTATGGCATATATACACAATGGAATATTACTCAGCATTAAGAGAGAATAAAATCGTGGCATTCACAGATAAATGGATGGAGTTGGAGAATATAATGCTAAGTGAAGGAAGCCCATCCTCAAAAAACCAAAGGCTGAATGTTTTCTCTGATATAAGGATGCTGATTCATAATGGGGATGGGGAAGGTGGGCATGGGAGGATTAGATGAACTCTAGATAGGGCAAAGCAGGGGGAGGAGAAGGAGGGGGCAGAGGGGTAGGAAAGACAGTGGAATGAGATAAACATCATTACCCCGAGCACATGTACGAAGACACAATGGTGTGACTCTACTTTGTGTACAACCAGGGACATGAAAAATTGTGCTCTGTTTGTGTGATATGAATTAAATTGCATCCTGATGTCATATATAACAGAATAAATAAGAAAAGTACATCATAATCAAACAGTCAAAAGCCACAGAAATAATTTTGAAAGCCTGAAGAAAAAAAATAACTTCTATACAAGGGAATTGCTGTTAGATGATCAGTAGAAACTTTGCAAGCTAGTAGGGAACAGAATGATCTAATCAAAGTGCCGAAAGATAAAAACTGACAACCAAGAATACCATATCCAGCTAAACGAACTTTCTAAAATGAAGGCAGAGTGAAGACTACTAAGGGAATTTATCACTAATGGACTTGTCTTATAAGAAGTACTTAAAGGGGTCCTTGAAGTTGAAGTAAATGGATGATAAATCACAACATGAAACCATACAAAAAT